CAGGGATTAAAACAGCATAACCCGGACTGTTCAATCGGTTGAACGCCAGACCCGGAACCGAGCGATCTCTGGTTCAAACACCGGGAGGGTCACTCGCCTTTCATCTTTCCGAGACTGAAGAGTACCAGTCCGCGGAAAGAGAACAGGAGATCATGCATCATGCCTACACACAGCTGCTGTCGACCCTTACTTCTTTCGAAATAAGCCATTTCTGGCTCATAGCACTAATGCAGATTAGCGCTCCACCATTAACCTTACGAAAAGAAAGACGCCGAAAATAGCTCGATGACGAAAGTGTGTAAGACTGACATTTCAACGGTCAAAAATTTTCTGTTTTTTCCTTCTTTCCTTTGCTTTTCCTAGTTTCCTTTAAGAGGGCATTTAGCAGACATTGCAGTATCGCCGCTACAATAAGGTTTTGTTTAAGACAAACTCAGCTTTGTTATGAAAGTTATAGTCTAATGGAGTTTTGTTAACTGAGGTAGAAGCTGAGCTAATCTTCTGCATTCCTTAAGTAACCATCAATTTAAGTATAAATGCTGTACTAACCAAGCCGAAACATACGAAGGCAAAGATCATGCAGCCACAGAACAGGCAGAGGCGTTGCAAGCGGCCCTGAAATAAACGACGAAGGTTACGGGCAATACAAAGAAAGCAAGTCGTACGAAACTGAAGAAGCCCTTCTTTGCTTCCGGAAAAATGGTGAAATCGTTCGCGTTGGTAGGGCTACCTTCTCTGCCTGACAACAGAGAGGCGAATTTTGTGACGACTGCATTTTTCGAGATCTGTTTGCCCAGATTAGACAGCGACGATAAGTGAAGGAAGATCTGCATATTGCCATGCACCGAAGCGCCAGCTCGGGTTTCCTTGACATATTCGTCCAAAAGAGCGGTATCTGCCATTTTCGAAACCACGAGCACTAACGTCTAAAAAATGAGGTAAAATCAAGCAAACAACCTACGACGCTCACGTCGATTCATCGCAGAAAGTTTTGCCATAAAGCGAAGAGTGTCTATGAATCATGAGTGACTGGCGGCACAAAACGAAACGACACTTCAGTGAAACAAATCTTACCCTTAAAGAACTGTTATATATTATTGCGAAGCAATACATGTCACTGTTTGCCCGGACTTCTTTATTTCATGGACAACTGCATTTTAATGCTTAAATATATGGAATATGGTCATATCTTTCAAGACAACGTAAGCGAACCAAAATACCGACCCTGGAACTGTGTTCCCAATCTGCAGCTTTAATGAACCACGTATCAACACAGTATCAAAGAATTTCATATTTTAAGCTGAACGACATGCAAATATTGCTTTAATCAGTTCACTCGTTACGACATAATTACGGGCATAGCTCATACCAATATTTGAAAGAAAATGGGTTCAATTGTGGAAGGCTCTGTTCCTTCCACACACTGGAAATTACTCACAATATCGGTCTAGTTATGCATCGACAGGAGAGCGAACCATATTTTCGCACAGGGTGAAAATGTTAAGCAAGAACTTCAGTCTTTATTTTTTTCCTGCTTTGATCTGCTTAACTACTTGTTTACCTTCTTAAATGCATATGACCCAGATGAAATGGTCAACTAGATGCTATTCACCGTGATGTAATAGTTCCACACTACTACAGTTACACTCCTAACAATGAATTTCTTTGCGAGTGGTCATTATTCGAGGAGCAACCGCCCTTCGCCTCATCCTTCTTTCCACCTTCGTTTCTTTACGGGAGATAATATGTATCTGACTATGTCATGATGCAAACTTTGTCGAGCCAGCAAAGCATCGTAAAACCTCATTTCTGCTAGTTGCATTCGGGATCGCATTGTTTCTTTCAATATCCAGTATTCATGAACATAGATAAGCGTAGTACGCATACTAACTTTATTACAGATAGCTTCGAATCACGAATGGTCTGCTGTAGTGCACTATTTTACAGATTTTTCGACTAACATATCACCTCTATCAATCTACAATCTCAGTGGATTCATCGCATATCGACAATTTACGACAAATGCTATCCCTCTACAGATGTAGCTGTCCTGGTACAGCGTCAGAGCCACTGTCGCTTCATTTTCGACACTCGCGTTTCATTTTAATAAACGAGTACCGGCAAGCATAGTAAGTAACTGACCTCATGAAGTTAAAGTTACTAGTAAGTTAACCTTCAAAACTATAAGGAGCTCAAGAGTGATGACATTAAAATCAGTACACGCGCCGCCTCAACCGCTTCACCAAAAAGAGTACTAGTAATTATACCAATTTTAGAAGTGGATGTAAACCTAAACCCAAACGGTAACAAATTTTTTTTCTCAGCTCATCCAGCTCTAGTGTCCAGTGTCAATATCTGCCATCGTCATGACATGCGTTGTCGATAGCAGGGCCACTGCACCAACGAATAGTGGCCTTGTTCAAATTTAATTGCACATTCGACAGTCGCTATATCCTGAATACAGGGGAAAACACAGAACACTAGAGGGCACCCTGATCAATCAGTCTGCAACGTACATCGTTGATCCGTCCGACACCGACGGAAAACATGCGGAAACCGCTGGCTCGCAAACTTTAAAATCGGAACAGGTTTCATATCAGAAACCAAAAACTGTCTAAATTTCACTCTTCAGGTTTCATATTTGCCAGTTTACCTTATGCTTGACTTAAGTAGAACACTTTGTATTAGACATGATTTTACGCATGAAAAGAATACATGTAGTGGCTTATCGCCTGCCCAATAAAAATGCAACAAATACCGGCTGTTTAATCTCACATGTAACATTTTGTCACGATCGTAAACCGTTAGGGATAAACAACATTCAGCAGAGATCCTCCTGTAATTCTTCCACTTAGTTACACGGGCACTAGTTTTCGAACTTTGTATATCTAGCATAACACTGACAAAGCACTCGTTCTGCCTGACTTTTACCTGTATCACAACGAGTTATAAATTTTTCAAAAGTTTACGCCATCAGCAGCTTCACCTGAAAGGTATCTGCAGGTTCAATTTAGTAAGACTCTAGTTACGAAAACGCACACTACTTTCTAAACGATTGAAAATCATCTATTCATAATGAGGTCCACAATTCTTTGCTCTGACATTTACTGGCAAGATTACACACACGCCAGTACTTAAATTTCTCAGCAATTTTTTGTATATCGATACACTGAGGATAATCTGGAATAATTTGGGGTCGTTCTATTTCGAGATTCGTGTTCGCCTGAACACGCCAATTTCTTAAAAAACACGGATGAGATCTACTGTCTTATTGATTTGACGTAAGCAGGGTTTTTGCATTTGACTTTTTTTACAAGATTTTTCATTTTCGTCAGTTTTTTCTTACAACCTTCCTATCTTATTTCCTTGCTCTCTCGAAGCCTATCATCGCCTTCTGCACTGTAGCCTGAAGTATACAGCACAAAATAATTGCTTTGAATTTTTGTTTTTTGTCAAATGACGAGTGCAGTGCATCCTGAAGGTTTGTCTGTACTGTTTTTTCAATGGCAGCCACTCGTTTCACCCCTGCTTTCCCGTGCTGTGTGATGCTGCGTACTAGCAGCATAACAAAAATTGTGATATACTGCTGAACATAACTGAAAT